ATTGGGCTACAAGACCACTGCCAAGCAGCTTGGTGAGAAGGTGACAACAGTTGGTGCGATTATTCGCAAATAGAAGAAAAACAAAAGAACTGTCAACCTCCCTCGGCCTGGGGCTCCATGCAAGATCTCACCTCATGGAGTTGCAATGATCATGAGAACAGTGAGGAATCAGCCAAGAACTACACGGAAGGATCTTGTCAATGATCTCAAGGCAGCTGGGACCATAGTCACCAAGAAAACAATTGGTATCACACTACGTCATGAAGGACTGAAATCCTGCAGTGCCCGCAAGGTCCCCCTGCTCAAGAAAGCACATATACATGCCCGTCTGAAGTTTGCCAATGAACATCTGAATGATTCAGAGGACAACTGGGTGAAAGTGTGGTCAGATGAGACCAAAATGGAGCTCTTTGGCATCAACTCAACTCATTGTGTTTGGAGGAGGAGGAATGCTGCCTATGACCCCAAGAACACCATCCCCACCGTCAAACATGGAGGTGGAAACATTATGCTTTGGGGGTGTTTTTCTGCTAAGGGGACAGGACAACTTCACTGCATCAAAGGGACGATGGACAGGGCGATATACCGTCAAATCTTGGGTGAGAACCTCCTTCCCTCAGCCAGGGCATTGAAAATGAAAAGTAATTACTAAGTCATTACCAAGTACTAAGTCATGTTTTGCAGAGGGGTCAAATACTTATTTCCCTCATTAAAATGCAAATCGATTTATAACATTTTTGACATGCGTTTTTTCTGATTTTTTTGTTGTTATTCTGTCTCTCACTGTTCAAATAAACCTACCATTAAAATTATAGTCTGATAAGCAGTGATAACTCACAGATAAGCATTGGTGGCTCGGTGGTAGAATTCTAGCTTGCCATGTTGGAGGCCAGGGTTCGATTCCCAGCCAATGCACAAGTGAATTTTGAATATTTCGTATTTACTCACAGAACTTAATTAAGCTTATCGATTCTGCAGTATGGTTAGCTGCAAATCACACTCTGTGAAGTCCTTCGAACTGGTAGATAAGAATTGGTGGTTCAGTGGTAGAATTTTATGTTGCGGTGTTGGAGGCCTGGGTTCGATTCCCAGCCAATGCACAAGCGAATTTTGAATATTTTGTCTTCACTCACAGAACTTCATTAAGCTTATCAATTCTGCAGTATGGTTAGCTGCAAATCACACTCTGTGAAGTCATTTGCACTTAAAGACAAGCGTTGGTGATTCAGTGGTAGAATTCTAGCTTGCCATGTTGGAGGCCTGGGTTCGATTTCCAGCCAATGCACAGGTGAATTTTGAATATTGAGCCTTCTCACAAAGAAATTGACAAGCCTTATCAATTCTGCCCAAACTAGGCTGGTGGACAAACTCCATGCTGCTGAAATATGCAAGAGATGCTACTTTACAATTTTAAACCACATGGCTGAATCAGCACAATACTTACCTGAAAAGCTCACTCTGCATTGTCATTGATTGTTTGAGATAAGAGTTTGATTCTTCAAGAGATGCTACTTTACAATCTTAAATCACATGGCTGAATCAGCACAATACTTAACTGAAAAGCTCACTCTGCATTGTCATTGATTGTTTGAGATAAGAGTTTGATTCTTCAAGAGATGCTACTTTACAATCTTAAATCACATGGCTGAATCAGCACAATACTTACCTGAAAAGCTCACTCTGCGTTGTCATTGATTGTTTGAGATAAGAGTTTGATTCTTCAAGAGATGCAACTGTACAATTTTAAACCAAATAGCTGAAGCGGCACAATACTTACCTGAAAAGCTCACTCTGTGTTGTCATTGATTCTTTGAGATTAGAGTTTTATTCTTCAAGAGATGCTACTGTACAATTTTAAACCAAATAGCTGAAGCGGCACAATACTTACCTGAAAAGCACACTTTACAAAGTCATTGATTCTTTAAGATAAGGAAGGATTGGTGGTTTAGTGGTAGAATTCTCAAATGCCATGTACCAGGCCTTGCACAATGCACAACTGAGTTCTGAATATTAATCCTTCACTCACAGAACTTCAAAAGCCTGATCAATTCTGCAGTTTTGTTAGCTCCAAATCACACTCTGAGAAGTCGTTTGAGCTTGAAGGTAAGCATTGGTGGTTCGATTCCCAGCCAATGCACAAGTGCATTTTGAATATTTAGTCTTCACTCACAGAACTTCATTAAACTTATCAATTCTGCAGTATGGTTAGCTGCAAATCACACTCTGTCCTTTGAACTTAAAGGTAAGCATTGGTGGTTCAGTGGTAGAATACTAGCTTGCCATGTTGGAGACCTAGGTTCGATTCCCAGCCAATGCACAAGCGAATTTTGAACATTGAGCCTTCTCGCAAAGAAATTGACATGCTTTATCAATTCTGCCCAAACTAGGGTGGTGGACAAACTCCATGCTGCTGAAATATACAAGAGATGCTACTTTACACTTTTAAACCACATGGCTGAATCAGCACAATACTTACCTGAAAAGCTCACTCTGCGTTGTCATTGATTGTTCGAGATAAGAGTTTGATTCTTCAAGAGATGCTACTGTACAATTTTAAACCAAATAGCTGAAGCGGCACAATACTTACCTGAATAGCACACTCTGCAAAGTCATTGATTCTTTAAGATAAGGAAGGATTGATTGTTTAGTGGTAGAATTCTCAAATGCCATGTACCAGGCCTTGCACAATGCACAACTGAGTTCTGAATATTAATCCTTCACTCACAGAACTTCAAAAGCCTGATCAATTCTGCAGTTTGGTTAGCTGCAACTCACACTCTGAGAAGTGGTTTGAGCTTGAAGGTAAGCATTGGTGTTTCAGTGGTAGAATTCTAGCTTGCCATGTTGGAGACCTGGGTTCGATTCCCAGCCAATGCACAAGCGAATTTTGAACATTGAGCCTTCTCGCAAAGAAATTGACATGCTTTATCAATTCTGCCCAAACTAGGGTTTTGGACAAACTCCATGCTGCTGAAATATACAAGAGATGCTACTTTACAATTTTAAACCACATGGCTGAATCAGCACAATACTTACCTGAAAAGCTCACTCTGCGTTGTCATTGATTGTTTGAGATAAGAGTTTGATTCTTCAAGAGATGCAACTGTACAATTTTAAACCACATGGCTGAATCAGCACAATACTTACCTGAAAAGCTCACTCTGCGTTGTCATTGATTGTTTGAGATAAGAGTTTGATTCTTCAAGAGATGCAACCTTACAATTTTAAACCAAATAGCTGAAGCGGCACAATACTTACCTTAAAAGCTCACTCTGCGTTGTCATTGATTCTTTAAGATAAGGAAGGATTGATTGTTTAGTGGTAGAATTCTCAAATGCCATGTACCAGGCCTTGCACAATGCACAACTGAGTTCTGAATATTAATCCTTCACTCACAGAACTTCAAAAGCCTGATCAATTCTGCAGTTTGGTTAGCTGCAAATCAGACTCTGAGAAATCGTTTGAACTTGAAGGTAAGCATTGGTGGTTCAGTGGTAGAATTCTAGCTTGCCATGTTGGAGGCCTCGGTTCGATTCCTAGCCAATGCACAAGCGAATTTTGAACAATGAGTCGTCTCGCAAAGAAATTGACAGGCTTTATCAATTCTGCCCAAACTAGGGTGTTGGACAAACTCCATGCTGCTGAAATATACAAGAGATGCTACTTTACAATTTTAAACCACATGGCTGAATCAGCACAATACTTACCTGAAAAGCTCACTCTGCGTTGTCATTGATTGTTTGAGATAAGAGTTTGATTCTTCAAGAGATGCAACTGTACAATTTTAAACCAAATAGCTGAAGCGGCACAATACTTACCTGAAAAGCTCACTCTGCGTTGTCATTGATTGTTTGAGATAAGAGTTTGATTCTTCAAGAGATGCTACTGTACAATTTTAAACCAAATAGCTGAAGCGGCACAATACTTACCTGAAAAGCTCACTCTGCGTTGTCATTGATTGTTTGAGATAAGAGTTTGATTCTTCAAGAGATGCTACTGTACAATTTTAAACCAAATAGCTGAAGCGGCACAATACTTACCTGAAAAGCACACTCTGCAAAGTCATTGATTCTTTAAGATAAGGAAGGATTGATTGATTAGTGGTAGAATTCTCAAATGCCATGTACCAGGCCTTGCACAATGCACAACTGAGTTCTGAATATTAATCCTTCACTCACAGAACTTCAAAAGCCTGATCAATTCTGCAGTTTGGTTAGCTGCAAATCACACTCTGAGAAGTCGTTTGAGCTTGAAGGTAAGCATTGGTGGTTCAGTGGTCGAATTCTAGCTTGCCATGTTGGAGGACTGTGTTCGATTCCCAGCCAATGCACAAGTGAATTTTGAATATTTAGTCTTCACTCACAGAACTTCATTAAACATATCAATTCTGCAGTATGGTTAGCTGCAAATCACACTCTGTGAAGTCCTTTGAACTTAAAGACAAGCATTGGTGTTTCAGTGGTAGAATACTAGCTTGCCATGTTGGAGACCTGGGTTTGATTCCCAGCCAATGCACAAGCGAATTTTGAACATTGAGCCTTCTCGCAAAGAAATTGACATGCTTTATCAATTCTGCCCAAACTAGGGTGTTGGACAAACTCCATGCTGCTGAAATATACAAGAGATGCTACTTTACAACTTTAAACCACATGGCTGAATCAGCACAATACTTAGCTGAAAAGCTCACTCTGCGTTGTCATTGATTGTTTGAGATAAGAGTTTGATTCTTCAAGAGATGCTACTGTTCAATTTTAAACCAAATAGCTGAAGCGGCACAATACTTACCTGAAAAGCACACTCTACAAAGTCATTGATTCTTTAAGATAAGGATTGGTGGGTTAGTGGTAGACTTCTCAAATGCCATGTACCCGGCCTTGCACAATGCACAACTGAGTTCTGAATATTTAGTCTTCACTCACAGAACTTCATTAAACTTATCAATTCTGCAGTATAGTTAGCTGCAAATCAGACTCTGCGAAGTCGTGTGAACTTGAAGGTAAGCATTGGTGGTTCAGTGGTAGAATTCTAGCTGGCGAAGTTGGAGGCCTAGGTTCGATTCCCAGCCAATGCACAAGCGAACTTTGAACATTGAGCCTTCTCGCAAAGAAATTGACAGGCTTTATCACTTCTGCCCAAACTAGGGTGTTGGACAAACTCCATGCTGCTGAAATATACAAGAGATGCTACTTTACAATCTTAAACCACATTGCTGAATCAGCACAATACTTACCTGAAAAGCTCACTCTGCGTTGTCATTGATTGTTTGAGATAAGAGTTTGATTCTTCAAGAGATGCAACTGTACAATTTTAAACCAAATAGCTGAAGCGGCACAATACTTACCTGAAAAGCTCACTCTGCGTTGTCATTGAGTGTTTGAGATAAGAGTTTGATTCTTCAAGAGATGCTACTGTACAATTTTAAACCAAATAGCTGAAGCGGCACAATACTTACCTGAAAAGCTCACTCTGCGTTGTCATTGATTGTTTGAGATAAGAGTTTGATTCTTCAAGAGATGCTACTTTACAATTTTAAACCACATGGCTGAATCAGCACAATACTTACCTGAAAAGCTCACTCTGCGTTGTCATTGATTGTTTGAGATAAGAGTTTGATTCTTCAAGAGATGCAACTGTACAATTTTAAACCAAATAGCTGAAGCGGCACAATACTTACCTGAAAAGCTCACTCTGCGTTGTCATTGATTGTTTGAGATAAGAGTTTGATTCTTCAAGAGATGCTACTGTACAATTTTAAACCAAATAGCTGAAGCGGCACAATACTTACCTGAAAAGCACACTCTGCAAAGTCATTGATTCTTTAAGATAAGGAAGGATTGATGGTTTAGTGGTAGAATTCTCAAATGCCATGTACCAGGCCTTGCACAATGCACAACTGAGTTCTGAATATTAATCCTTCACTCACAGAACTTCAAAAGCCTGATCAATTCTGCAGTTTGGTTAGCTGCAAATCACACTCTGAGAACTCGTTTGAACTTGAAGGTAAGCATTGGTGGTTCAGTGGTGGAATTCTAGCTTGCCATGTTGGAGGCCTGGGTTCGATTCCCAGCCAATGCACAAGTGAATGTTGAATATTTAGTCTTCACTCACAGAACTTCTTTAAACTTATCAATTCTGCAGTATGGTTAGCTGCAAATCACACTCTGTGAAGTCCTTTGAATTTAAAGACAAGCATTGGTTGTTCAGTGGTAGAATTCTAGCTTGCCATGTTGGAGACCTGGATTCCCAGCCAATGCACAAGCGAATTTTGAACATTGAGCCTTCTGGCAAAGACATGCATTATCAATTCTGCCCAGACTAGGGTGTTGGACAATCTCCATGCTGCTGAAATATACAAGAGATGCTACTTCACAATTTTAAACCACATGGCTGAATCAGCACAATACTTACCTGAAAAGCTCACTCTGCGTTGTCATTGATTGTTTGAGATAAGAGTTTGATTCTTCAAGAGATGCTACTGTACAATTTTAAACCAAATAGCTGAAGCGGCACAATACTTACCTGAAAAGCACACTCTGCAAAGTCATTGATTCTTTAAGATAAGGAAGGATTGATTGTTTAGTGGTAGAATTCTCAAATGCCATGTACCAGGCCTTGCACAATGCACAACTGAGTTCTGAATATTAATCCTTCAATCACAGAACTTCAAAAGCCTGATCAATTCTGCAGATTGGTTAGCTGCAAATCACACTGAGAAATCGTTTGAACTTGAAAGTAAGCATTGGTGGTTCAGTGGTAGAATTCTAGCTTGCCATGTTGGAGGCCTGGGTTTGATTCCCAGCCAATGCACAAGCGAATTTTGGACATTGAGCCTTCTTGCAAAGAAATTGACATCCTTTGTCAATTCTGCCCAAACTAGGGTTTCAGACAAACTCCATGCTGCTAAAATATACAAGAGATGCTACTTTGCACTTTTAAACCACATGGCTGAATCAGCACAATACTTACCTGAAAAGCTCACTCTGCGTTGTCATTGATTGTTTGAGATAAGAGTTTGATTCTTCAAGAGATGCAACTGTACAATTTTAAACCAAATAGCTGTTGCGGCACAATACTTACCTGAAAAGCTCACTCTGCGTTGTCATTGATTGTTTGAGATAAGAGTTTGATTCTTCAAGAGATGCAACTGTACAATTTTAAACCAAATAGCTGAAGCGGCACAATACTTACCTGAATAGCACACTCTGCAAAGTCATTGATTCTTTAAGATAAGGAAGGATTGATTGTTTAGTGGTAGAATTCTCAAATGCCATGTACCAGGCCTTGCACAATGCACAACTGAGTTCTGAATATTAATCCTTCACTCACAGAACTTCAAAAGCCTGATCAATTCTGCAGTTTGGTTAGCTGCAAATCACACTCTGAGAAGTGGTTTGAACTTGAAGGTAAGCATTGGTGTTTCAGTGGTAGAATTCTAGCTTGCCATGTTGGAGACCTGGGTTCGATTCCCAGCCAATGCACAAGCGAATTTTGAACGTTGAGCCTTCTCGCAAAGAAATTGACATGCTTTATCAATTCTGCCCAAACTAGGGTTTTGGACAAACTCCATGCTGCTGAAATATACAAGAGATGCTACTTTACAATTTTAAACCACATGGCTGAATCAGCACAATACTTACCTGAAAAGCTCACTCTGCGTTGTCATTGATTGTTTGAGATAAGAGTTTGATTCTTCAAGAGATGCAACTGTACAATTTTAAACCACATGGCTGAATCAGCACAATACTTACCTGAAAAGCTCACTCTGCGTTGTCATTGATTGTTTGAGATAAGAGTTTGATTCTTCAAGAGATGCTACTGTACAATTTTAAACCAAATAGCTGAAGCGGCACAATACTTACCTGAAAAGCACACTCTGCCAAGTCATTGATTCTTTAAGATAAGGAAGGATTGATGGTTTAGTGGTAGAATTCTCAAATGCCATGTACCAGGCCTTGCACAATGCACAACTGAGTTCTGAATATTAATCCTTCAATCACAGAACTTCAAAAGCCTGATCAATTCTGCAGATTGGTTAGCTGCAAATCACACTCTGAGAAATCGTTTGAACTTGAAGGTAAGCATTGGTGGTTCAGTGGTAGAATTCTAGCTTGCCATGTTGGAGGCCTCGGTTCGATTCCTAGCCAATGCAGCCGAATTTTGAACAATGAGTCGTCTCAAAAGAAATTGACAGGCTTTATCAATTCTGCCCAAACTAGGGTGTTGGACAAACTCCATGCTGCTGAAATATACAAGAGATGCTACTTTACAATTTTAAACCACATGGCTGAATCAGCACAATACTTACCTGAAAAGCTCACTCTGCGTTGTCATTGATTGGTTGAGATTAGAGTTTGATTCTTCAAGAGATGCAACTGTACAATTTTAAACCAAATAGCTGAAGCGGCACAATACTTACCTGAAAAGCTCACTCTGCGTTGTCATTGATTGTTTGAGATAAGAGTTTGATTCTTCAAGAGATGCTACTGTACAATTTTAAACCAAATAGCTGAAGCGGCACAATACTTACCTGAAAAGCACACTCTGCAAAGTCATTGATTCTTTAAGATAAGGAAGGATTGATTGTTTAGTGGTAGAATTCTCAAATGCCATGTACCAGGCCTTGCACAATGCACAACTGAGTTCTGAATATTAATCCTTCACTCACAGAACTTCAAAAGCCTGATCAATTCTGCAGTTTGGTTAGCTGCAAATCACACTCTGAGAAGTCGTTTGAGCTTGAAGGTAAGCATTGGTGGTTCAGTGGTCGAATTCTAGCTTGCCATGTTGGAGGACTGTGTTCGATTCCCAGCCAATGCACAAGTGAATTTTGAATATTTAGTCTTCACTCACAGAACTTCATTAAACTTATCAATTCTGCAGTATGGTTAGCTGCAAATCACACTCTGTGAAGTCCTTTGAACTTAAAGACAAGCATTGGTGGTTCAGTGGTAGAATACTAGCTTGCCATGTTGGAGACCTGGGTTTGATTCCCAGCCAATGCACAAGCGATTTTTGAACATTGAGCCTTCTGGCAAAGAAATTGACATGCATTGTCAATTCTGCCCAAACTAGGGTGTTGGACAATCTCCATGCTGCTGAAATATACAAGAGATGCTACTTCACAATTTTAAACCACATGGCTGAATCAGCACAATACTTACCTGAAAAGCTCACTCTGCGTTGTCATTGATTGTTTGAGATAAGAGTTTGATTCTTCAAGAGATGCTACTGTACAATTTTAAACCAAATAGCTGAAGCGGCACAATACTTACCTGAAAAGCACACTCTGCAAAGTCATTGATTCTTTAAGATAAGGAAGGATTGATTGTTTAGTGGTAGAATTCTCAAATGCCATGTACCAGGCCTTGCACAATGCACAACTGAGTTCTGAATATTAATCCTTCAATCACAGAACTTCAAAAGCCTGATCAATTCTGCAGATTGGTTAGCTGCAAATCACACTCTGAGAAATCGTTTGAACTTGAAGGTAAGCATTGGTGGTTCAGTGGTAGAATTCTAGCTTGCCATGTTGGAGGCCTGGGTTCGATTCCCAGCCAATGCACAAGCGAATTTTTGGACATTGAGCCTTCGCCGCAAAGAAATTGACATGCTTTGTCAATTCTGCCCAAACTAGGGTTTCGGACAAACTCCATGCTGCTAAAATATACAAGAGATGCTACTTTACACTTTTAAACCACATGGCTGAATCAGCACAATACTTACCTGAAAAGCTCACTCTGCGTTGTCATTGATTGTTTGAGATAAGAGTTTGATTCTTCAAGAGATGCAACTGTACAATTTTAAACCAAATAGCTGTTGCGGCACAATACTTACCTGAAAAGCTCACTCTGCGTTGTCATTGATTGTTTGAGATAAGAGTTTGATTCTTCAAGAGATGCTACTGTACACTTTTAAACCAAATAGCTGAAGCGGCACAATACTTACCTGAAAAGCACACTCTGCCAAGTCATTGATTCTTTAAGATAAGGAAGGATTGATGGTTTAGTGGTAGAATTCTCAAATGTAATGTACCAGGCCTTGCACAATGCACAACTGAGTTCTGAATATTAA